GGGGCATTCGCGCTGTGGCCGGGTGGCTGGGGTTCAGGGGTGTGCTCTTGCGGGAGGGTGGGAAGCCGGGGCGCCGGAAGCCCGCGGCCCGCGCCCACCTCAGCAGCGTCTCCAGCGAGCCCTCATGCTTGTCGAGCGGGCGGCCGAGCGCCGTGCGCCGCAGCTTGCTGAGCTCCTCGGCCGCGCGGCAGTACTGGGCCTGCTCGTCGCCGCCGCTCGGGTACGTCTGCTGGATGAACTTCACCAGCGGCTTGGCCAGGTCCACCTCCGACGTCTTCTTCAGCTGCACCCAGATGAACGACGACATGGTGAGCGCCCGGCCGCCGCTTCGGGCCGGAGACACGGAGGGACAGCGACGACGGCCTAGGCGCGCTCGGCACCGGCAGCGGACGAGCGGACCGACGGGCCGACGGACTGAGCCGCCAGCGCTTTAGGTCGGCCACTTCCGGGAGCCCCTGCGCAAGCGCAGTTGGAGGGGTGCGCCGTGCGGCCACGTGATGGTGTCACCCCGGCGTCCCTCGCCTGGTCTCACCTCTGCGGCGCCCGCGCGATGCAGTTGGTCGTTCCCCTACTCCAATGGTTAAACTTTTGGAAAGTTTTTTTCTTTTTTTTTTTTTTTTTTTGGTTTACGAGACAGGGTTTCTCAGTGTATCCCTGACTGTCCTGAAACTCGCGCTGTAGACCAGGCTGGCCTCGAACTCGGAGATCCGCCTGCCTCTGCCTCCCAATTTAAAGGCTTGGGCCACCATGCCCGGCTCAAAAAGATTTTTTAATTTCTCTTTGAATTCTGTTTTATTTTTCTATTTAAATATTTTAATCAATTGTATTTTTAGCTACCTAAATTTAATTTAGATCTAGAACTATTATGCTCCCTGATGCAATACTCTTTTGTTAGACCTTCAGGCCCTGGGAGTATTGTGATGTATGATGGTTCATTCAACTACTACTGAAGGTACACTGTGTGTGCAGGGCCTCCATCCAAAGTAGCAAAGTACCTGCCTTCGGGCACTCAGCCAGGTAAGGAACCGGTAACCATAGATAAGAAACATTCTCACAGAAGATGAACTTAAAAGGATACCCGCAGTTTGAGAAGCTATCTTGGCATTAAAGGAGCGAAAGAGTGAGGAGTTGGGTGAGGGAGAGCCTCCCAGACAAAAAGCACGCCTGCCCATATCCAGAACGTAAAAGGCAAGCAGAATAGAATGAAACGAGGTTGAAGAGTGGAGCCACAAACATTACGGAACTTGTCAACGTATATAATTTGTTTTGTATGATCAGTGGCACATAAGTGTCGGGCCTAGCCATGACAGGCTCAATAGAGACCACCCAGGAACAGACCATCCAAGGGGAAATATCTAACTTTCCAACCGTTATAGATAGGATCACCTGACGATCCTTAGCCAAGGACACACCCATCCCCTTTCAGCAAGACACCGTTAGACAAATGTCAGCCAATCAGGGGTCCTGACCCTTAGAAATCCCTCACCCCAGCTTCTGCTATGATAAAAACCCCACCCCAACTGGGTCCGTGGCTCTCCAACCTCACTGCTATGTCTGATGGATGGAGGGTCCAAGCTCAAGCTTGAATAAAGGCTCTTTGCTTTTGCATATGAGTACAGACTCCGTGGTGGTTTTGGGGGACCGCAATATGGGCACAGCATAAGCCGTTTGTTTTTACATTGTAAAAAGACATCCCCTTCAGTAGCTGAAGAAATAGCTTGGCATTTAAAAAGTGGTGCTTGTGGTTCTGCCAGGAAGAGGACCAGAGTCGGGTTCCAGCTCCCACTTCCAGCAGCTAGCAATAGCCTATAACTCAAGGTCGCCCTCTTTCGGCCCCCTCAGGAACTAGCTCGCACGTGCACAGCTCTCTCTCTCTTTCTCTCTCTCTCTCTCTCTCACACACACACAGTCACACACATAAATGTTTTTTAAAGGCCTCCAGGAGGACAAGTCTGACATTTTTAATGTTGTATTTTTTTACATGTTTTATTTATTTGGAGCATGCAGAAGTCAGAAGACAACTTCCGGAGTCAATTCTATCACGTGACTCTCAGGGATGAAACTCAGGTCATCACAATTGGCAGCAAGCACCTTTACCTGCTGAGACATGGAACAGATGTAAATGTATGATGTCATCTATGAAATACTCCAGGAAAACCTAATTTGAATCTATCAAGCCTTCTCATCAAATGCACAATATTTTTTTTTAATTTTCTGGGGGTTTTTATGTGTATGAGTGTTCTGCCTGCATATATGCCTGCGTATCATGTTTGTGCCTCGTGCCCCCTGAGGTCAGTAGATAGCATCAGATCTCCTGGAACTGGAGCTGCAGAAATGATGAGCTGTATGTTGGAGCTGGGAGTTGAACCTGGGTCCTGGGTCCTCTGAAAGAGCAGTTGGTGCTCTTAACAGCTGGACCATCTCTCCAGCTCCAAAACACGCAATTTATAAGAAATATGCCAGGTGAAGTAACAATTTCCATGACAGTCTAGAGGATAACTGGTGTATAAGCTTCAATAGGTTATCATCCTGGAAAACCCAGTGGTTGTATGAAAAGAAATCTAAGGACCATTACAGCCTGAACTGGATCCTGTTCTGAACGAACAGGCTATAAAATGCCTTTGGGGACAGTTGGAGTATGAATGAAGATATGGGGTATGTGTTGCCATACAAATGGGGAGGTCGTTAAGAAAATGGCAAGTCACAAAATGGTATGTGTGTAATAGTGTCCTGATCTTACAAAATTGTGTGTGTGTGTGTGTGTGTGTGTGTGTGTGGACTATGAAAAAGGATTGTTTCATTGGGTGGTGCTGATTGTAATCTTTGGAAATAGAAGCATACATCTTTAGGTCTTATTTTTATCTTCTTGTAATTTTCTTGCATTATACAGTATGTTTGTTCTTTAACTGTTGTTGGATTTTCTTTTCTCCAGCCCCACGTTCGAATGCCAGAATGTTGTTGTTGCTGCTGCTGCTGTTGTTGTTGTTGTTGTTTACTCTTTGACTCGTTTTGGCTCTTTGGCTTTTTGGGAAGGCCTACCACCCAACTCCCAAATGGATCACCACAGAGTCTTATTCTTTTTTATAAATACCAGGCCTTCGCTTTGTCTTGTTTCTACATTTCCTTTTTAATGGTGTGTGTGTGTGTGTGTGTGTGTGTCAAAGGACAAGTTGTTGGAATCCTTTTCTTCTATCATGTGGATTCTGGAGTTTGAACTCAGGTCTTCAGGCTTGCTAGCAAGCTCTTTAGCCACTGATCTGTCTCAACAGCACTATAAAAGTATCTTTATTCTAATAAAATAAAAAGTATCTTTTTTAGAATAAAGATACTTTTAATTAGATGTATAGCAAATGCACCAGAAGAATACAATGAGGCAAAGTTGAAACAAGTTCAGAAATTCAAGCAAAAAAAAAAAAAAATCATCTTGTCGGACATAAGTAAGCGTGATCAAAAGAGATAAACTTTTTGAGTTTAGAATTGAATTTACTGACAAACCAGACAGGAAAGTAAGAAAGGGGGAGTGGCCAATGATGAGCTCATTTCTAATAATCTAAGTGTTGACATTTGACTCGTGGTTTTTACTTCTGCTTGATACCCTGCTTCTTCTACATCCAACTGGAGACTCCTCTTCTTCCTAGAGTCCTCTCTGTCCCCAGAAGTCCCACCTAAGCGCTTCCTGCCTAGCTACTGGCCATTTGGCTCTTTATTACATCAAACACAGCAATGCATCATCACACAATGTAAACAAATATTCTACAACTGTTGTGGGATTGTAGATGTGCACCATTGCATCTAGCTTTATTTGTTGTTGCTTTGTCTTGTTTTTGTTGTCGTTTGTTTTTTGAGACAAGGTCTCTTCTATGTAGCCCTAGCTGTCCTAGAAGTCACTATGTAGACCACGTTGGTCTTAAACTCACAGAGCTCCATCTGCCTCTGCCTTCCAAGGCATGCACTGATGTGCCTGGCTTGCATCCATATTGTGTGTGTGTGTGTGTGTGTGTGTGTGTGTGTGTGTGTGTGTGTGCGTTCATTCTGAGGATCAAGTTCAGGTGATCAGGCTTGCACAGTAAGCATATTTGCCTGCTGAGCTATCTTGCTAAAACATAATTATTTTTTAAGATGGAAAATGCTAGAGAATCTCTTGTGCTGGTCAACAAAACTCATTCAGGGAAACTGGAGATTCTTAACCGAGAGGGCCTAGAGATATGCCTTGGCAGTTAAGAGTACACACTGCCCTTGTGAAGAACCAGAGTTTGGTTTCCAGCACACCATCCATTGAGCAGCACCGCAACCATCTGTAACTCCCACTCCAAGGGCTCTGACACTCTCTTCTGGCCTCCAAAAGACACGACACTCAAATGCATAAACCCACCCAGAGACACACACATAAATACGTAATTTAAAACAAAAGTGTAGGTTTGAAGAAATGGCTCAGTGGTTAAAAGCAATAGCACATACCACTCTTGCAGAAGAACCAAGTGTGATTTCCAGCACCCACATCAGGCAGCTCACAAGCACCTGTAGCTCCAGCACCATGACATTGAACACCCCCCTCCTGGCCTCCAGGGATAACTACATTCATGTTCACATACCTACACACAAACACACGTTTATAAACAACTCAGAATAAATCCTTTCCAAAAATTATTTCCCAAAGTAAATAAAGTATCTCAATCTGTGGTGCCTAATATATACAAAGAAAGAGAGAGTGAAAAATTCATGAATACATGAAAGGAGTAGAGAGGGTACAAGCAGAACAGGGTGTATAAGAGGGGAGGTGAGGAAAGATGAATGCAGCAGATGAAGGAGAAATGGGAATTAACTTAGGTGTGGGGCTGACAATGTAGACCAGTTGCTGCCCTGGCTTACATGAAGCCCCGGGTTTGGCCTCAACACTGGATAAACTGGACGTGTAATACACCTTCCAACTGTCAGCATGCACCATCCTGCCTAACCTTGATGACTAATTTATCTGCCCTCCCCACTAGGATGTAAGCTTCACGGGAGAAAAGTGTGTTCATTTTGCATGGCTTGACTTATCATGGAACTGTGTCTTTGTCCCATGTAAACTGACTCATCTTAGACAAAAATGTATTGAATATCTCTAACCAATAAACATCATCACTTAGCAACATGGTACACTGGGAGGTACGGATTGCTTGCCTTCAGGATTATGTGATAGACTGACTCACCGCACTGCCTGGTATCATAAGGGAATATCAGACAGCAAAACAAGATCAAACTTGCTATGTAGCCAAGGATGACCTTGAACATCGAATGGCTTCTGTCTCCCATCTCCTGAGGATTGAGGTTAGGGCCATTCACCACTGTGGAGAGCCAGACCAACCCAAGACTTGCTCGGAGCCCCTGATGAAAGGACAAAGAGAACTTTAGTTCTGTGTCCTTGTCCAGGAGTGGACTTGGCAAGGGCGATCTAGGACTGGAG